TTTTACATAACATCTCATCCAAACGTTAATAAAATTGAACCAGAGTGTAAAGTTTACCTCGGTTCACATTTACGCCTTATACAAATACAGCCTAACATGAACTTAATACAAGTATTTTTTATAATTTTTTTTTTCAAAATAGGTCATGGGGTAGCTCTTAAGCTTACCTACCCCTTGAAATGGATCAAAAGGCCAAAAGGCCAAAAGGCATGTAGTTGGTGTATTTGTGACTCACCAACCATATTGGACAATATGTAACAAAATTTTGAACCTTGATATAAAGATCTTTCTTTGAAAATGTATTAAGGATGCCTTAGCCACTCACGATACTCTTGTGAAACATCATTCCCATTAGTCCCTATATGCCCTATCTATCACACTGCAATAGAAATGTTATAGCATATCTTTCTTTGTTGTTCAGGCTCTAAAGTAGTTTGGCTTTCTTTCCATCTCTAGTTATGCATGGGCATGGAAGATATGTCTTATAGCAATGTTGTCAATTGACTTTATTTATTTTTTGTGGAAATAAGACTCAAAGTATGGGATTATGGTATGTATTTCTTACTATAGTGTGGTACTTATATAAAACAAATTTGGATGGCTCACATTGCAATTGTTTTTGAGAAAACACCTTTTGATCCCAAAGGACTGCATTATGTCTAATGCTTCCATTGCTCACTATATTTCTATTAGTCTATCATATTCCATTGTTCCTATTGTAAAATAAATGGGCCACAATGGTGGTAACTTTTTCTCATTAGACCAAACCCAAACAAACATAATAAAAATCAATTTAGAGGCTAGGGTTGTTCACAAAAAGCACCAAATCAACTGAAGTAGCCCAACTTGAAATTATATGGCTGATTTTTAGAGTGTTTTTGGTCATTTTGGTTCATTAATATTCAAAACCCAATTGATCAATTTAATTTTAGTTCATAAGTTTATAAACCAACCATAACCCAAATCAAACCGATTATATGTTCCTATATATATAATAACCTAGTATTAGTAAACAAAAAGTAGCATGTTAGGAAAAGCATAAAGTTGTATCAACAATAATAAAATAGTAATAAAATGTAGTATTAATAGTTAATATTCAACAAGTTGTAGTTTCCTATTTCAATGAAAGCATAAAGTTGTATCAACAAATTACTCTTCAACAAAAAATGAAAAAGTTGTAGAAAGAGAATTTTAAATAGTGAAATGTCATTCCTACGTTGATTAAAGTGTAAACTTAGCATAGACCATAGAATGTCATTGTCAATAAACAATAGGTTACAAGCTGTTGGGCACTTAGGCTCATTTTTCAATTCAATAGGTTCTCTCAATAGTCAATTGGGTTCAAACCAACCAACCCAAGAAACCATCTACTCATTTTTATAAGTCAGTGTTCAACTGTTCATGTATGGTCAGTTGGTTCCAATTTGGCAAAAACTTCAACTTGAGTGCTTTGGTTTGGTTGAGAGAACTGTGTGCAATTGCATTGAACCGACCCATGTAGGACCCTAGTAGACATAGCAGTGGAATCCTTTCAACCACCATGGTGGTTAAAGACCTCCCTAGATGATTGTAGGAGTTTGATAGATAACTTGAAGGTGATGCAAAGAACAATGTAGATCTATTGGTGGAATCCTCACAACTATTATGGTAGTTAAAGATTGCCCTAGTTGATTGCAAGAACTTGATTGATTGCTTTCCTTCTTGCTCAATTTGTTTTGTTCCTAGAAATGCTAATGGTACTATACATCTGCTAGCAAATCATGCTTTAACTAGCTATCACTAAAACTCAAACTTGGTCTCTAAGTCTTGATTTCATTCTTTTCTCAATTATAAAGGATAATTTTGATCAAGTGGAATGAAATTGTGCACATGCTTCATTAATAGAAAAAGAAAATATGATTCATTAGTGATGCAACACGATCTGGGCACTCCTAGCTGGCTGAAACTTGGCTCCTAGCTGTGACAGACGACACCTGAGATGAAGAGGAACGTGAAGGGTTCCCGGGGAGCTCTCCCGACGGGAACACTCCGATGACTAAGTTAGAACTCTGAGGAAAACTCAAGGAAAATACAGAGAGTTAAGAGTGCCGAAAGTGTTAGCTTCAATACTTTTGCTTCGTGGAGTCCTCTCATACCGGAGCTCAGTCACATCAGGCGTAACCGCCACTGCCCTAGCCGTTACTGCCAGGGCTGAGGTGGCAGGTGCAGGCTGATGCTGCAGGGTACGGACTCATCAGGTGTGCCATACTTTTCAGAGACGGCGGGCACGACACTGCCTGGCAAGAGATGTGGGCGCTGCCACCAGATCCGGCTGGTACGGATGTCAGGCGGATCTACCCTGCAAGCTGCCGAGCTACATTGCACTGAACCGCCTGGGGCTGGGTTGCCTTGCACCGAGGTGCCGAGGTACGCCGAGGTGCTCGCACTGGAGGTGAGCCTTAAGCAAGTACGAACAGGAGTCTCAACAGTGTTGTCCCGAGGTGTTTCTCCCTCGGGACACTTAGCCAAAAGCTGGGGTGCTCCCTTTAGGGAGGGAGAGCTCGGAGCCCCTCAGAAGGAGCTCGGGGCCCTTTGCACGGAGGGAGCTCGGGGCGCTCCACCCTCAGGCTTGGGGTGAGCTGGGCCTTGCTTCTCGACGAGTTGTCACACCCGCCGAGTCGTTTGGTTGGGCCTCAACGAGCTTGTTACGCCGAGTTGTGGCCTGGCTATCGCGTTGAGTTGTCACTTATGCCAGGTCATGTCCACGTGTCCCCGTGCTACGAGGTCGGGCCAGATCACCCTACATCAATTAGCATATAAAAAATTTATATTCCATAAATATTTTCAAATTATCCTGAGAAAGCCAAAATTAGTTTTCCTTGTAAATATAGACGGAAACCAATTTATTCATGAGATTGGAAGTATCTATAAAGATAAGATGATTGTAATTGCCAATATTTTACATTGTAAAGTTGTTTGAGTCATTCCTAATTAACTAAAAATTAAAGGGGTGTTTTACAATATGAATATTCATTAATTATATTTTTGTTTTAAAAAGTAAATACAAGCTTGCCTTTGTTTCAAAATACAATCCATGTTCTCAAAATAATATCAATCACTAGATGAAAACCAATAACACATATTGGCTTCAATTTTGGAAACAAAAAAGTTGCACTTGAAGTTCACAAGTAGTGGATTTGGGTCCTAGTGAGAAACACTTCTAACCATGAGCTTCTTCTTACTTCCAACTTTTATCCTTCATCTCCAAGTTTCTAATCTTTTCTTTCATTTTGCTTCTTAAACTAACCTAAGTTTCTATCCATCATTTGTTGCTTTTTCACTTTTATAATGTCTGTTTCTTCCTTTCTCTTTTCTTGATTAAACCCATATTACTCTACAAAATGCAAGCTTCTCCATTTTTTGGTTAAACCCATATTCTAATAGTCTCTTTTCCTTAAGTTACCCCATTTCCTTGTGCCTAAATCAAGCTCTTCCTCTCCCTGTAATTGCTTTTTATCCCTAGGATCCATGTTTTCTTTCCCTTTCTTTTTAAAATGTTTCTTTACACTACAAGAAAAAGCATTTCTAGCGGTAGTTTTTGAAACAGCAGAATGGTGACTGCCGCTAGAAATATTGGTCTCACTAAAAATTAAACGACTGCCATAGTAAATTAGGCGCTAAAAACTAAATGACTGTTGCAGTAAATTAGGCGCAAATTGTGTAGGTTTTTTCACCCCCCGCGCCTCTTCCTCTTCCTGCTCTCTCTAAATCTCTCTTTCCTTCTCTCTTAATTGCCTCTTTCTCTCTCTATCAATTGAGCTTCGTGCCACCGACGTCTCGTTGTCAACCAAACTTTGCACCATCGGTCAGCATCAACAACAACTAACAAGTAAAACTCTCTCTCTCTCTCTCACTCACTCTCTCTATCTTAATTCATTAAGTATTGGGATCACTTCACCCTTCCTTAGAATTGTCTAGGGTTTGGAGCTATTCGTAACTTCTCCAAATTCTCTCTCTCATTCTTTCTTCGAATTCTCTTCTACCCTAGACCAAATCAAGTAGAGGGTGCTTTCAAGTTAACATTTTCCTTTGAATGATTCAATTCACGTTTCCAACAATTTCAGCTCTAGAGTTTTCAACTCCAAAGCTTGTCTGAAAGATAACATGGTCTTTGCAGTAGAGGTGGTTCGTTATAACTATTTTTGAAGATGGTTCTCTATTGAGGGCACACTTTGGATCAATTCCATCTCTGGATGGTTCTCATTTCTTGTTCTATGATCAACACCAATTTATGACTCTCAGGCACAGGAGTCTGAAAAGCTTAGCGACTTAGGGTTGGAACAATATCTAGATTTTTTGTTTGAAAAAAGGTGTATACTTTACTATTTTAATGTTTGTTACCATTTAAACATGTTTGCTTATTGAATTATTTGTTAATGCTTTGTGTTCCCTATGGAATTGATATTTTTTTTCCTTTTTCCTTGCCAAAGGGGATCCACTCGAGAATCGGCTTTATTGTCTATTATCGATGCTTTGACCTATAAGTTGCAGCATCAATTTGTTGAAAAGAAGTGAATGTTATTTATTTCATTCTCAATTCTTAAAGCGAGTAGCCATTGACTTTAAATCTTTTAGAGTTTTCCATGTCAAATCTTAGCACCCCTCTATACCCGACTTTATCTATGATAAACAACCTAGATGCAACAGTCCATACTAACACACAGATATATACAAGCAATATTATGTATGTATATGGACTTGTAATGTGTTGCAAATTTACCCCCATGGCCAAATTAACTCTTCTAAGTTACACAGCATTCTTATGTTTCTGCTACTTCAATAACAATTTCTTGCAAATTGCATTACTTTACTGTACCAATGCCTCAATTCCATAAAAAAGGGGTCTAGCAAAGAGATATCCTTATCTTGTTGTGTTATTGGTTAGTCCTCTCTTTTTTTGTAGCAAATTCGTTTTTCCATTAGTTTTAGTATAACTATCATTTTCATATTTTGCTCTGTAGGATTACTAGCTACCACTGTTGGTCGTGGCAATAGTGCAGCACATGAAATCTTAGAAGATTCAGTTCCTCCCATTTCTCAAGCTCGTAAATCTGGATCCAATTCATCAAAGATATCATCTGTAAGTACGACTTTGAAAATTTGCATATTTTGAAACCCATAGATTTTGGATGCAAAAAAAAAATCTGATTAACAATTTGTTGGCTTTTTTGGATTATATATGAATTTGTTAGATATTAGATTGTTTGGTTATTGTCACTTTTGTTGGCGGAAATGATTTAGAGGAGATTGAAAGATCAATGTGAATTATGTGGCAGTTTATTTATCCAAAATCAGGTCCTAATGTATGTAAAAATGCACCATATTTTATTGCTGAAAGCCTCTGATCATATACTTGATAGCAGTATAATGATTTTGGTCCTGTTAACTGACAGGCTTACACCTGGTGTTTTAGATTTTTTTCCATTTCTTGAAATTGAAAATTTATACTTTTTCCTCTTTATTTTCAATTTGAAACTGATTTTGTTGCCTTTACTTCGTAGGTGAATGCCTCCAAACTTATAGTGGCTGTATTAACAACAACAATATCTGCTTGGTCATTTCTTCTTACAACCATTAGTGGATGGAGAATTAATTAAAAAACCTGGAAAGAGTGAGTTCAAAGCACATGCACTCATGGGAGTAATAACATGATGATTGATGGGTAGTATTTGGGTGCAGATTTCTTCATAAGGTTTCATGTCTATTTTCACTAAACCTTGGTGACTATTTCTAAAAACTGAATATGTGGAGGAGATAGGTTTCATTCCTAAATACTAGCAACTTCATTTTCCATTAGAAGTACCTTTATATGCAGCGTAATCCTATATCAAGAAAAGCAGGATCTGTGAATTTTTTGCGTCTCTCTTTCACTTCATTCATAGTTTCCTACAGTATCTTATTGGTAACTTTTGTATCCAAGTATTATAAATTTTTACTGAGTAATTTTTTCCTTCCAAGACTGATTTCCTTGGCAAAGTTTAGCTAGCCCATAGGCCATGTAAGGGTTTGTAGGTTTGTAAATTATGTAAGTTGATGGCTTGATTTGCAGGTTCATGTTCCTCCATCATGTATTTCCAGCGGTGTTTGCAGGCCACCAGAGTTTTCAGGTGTTCACTTTTGCTGCATTTCCTGTAGAAATTCTTGGGGAGGTATATTGCTGAGAAATATATCCATGTGACTCGTTTGTAGGCCACCAGCAGTTGATTCTGTCTCTTCACTGCAGCATTGGACCAACGCCTCAAAGGATACCATTAGAGGTAGGTTCTACCTCATCTTGTCTTTGTTTCCAAGCAGATCCAACCCCTGGAATTATGACTATTGTCATAGCCCATACCTGATTGAGATTAATATAAAGTTTAGGATTTGGATATGGTATTCTCTTAGTCATTTTAGGAGTCTTATAAGATTATTCCAATTGACTTGATTACATTTTAATTGCCAATTATATAAAATTAAAATGAAAAACCTTATAGTTCCAGTATTGGCTGCAATTTCCCTGAATCTCCATGAGGTCATGTAAAATTCTGGTATTTGTTCTAGTTATAGATATTAGAATCCTTCTCCAGAGCTGAATCCCTAGCAAGTACCAACTGCATTGAGATCTAGGCAGTCAGTTGTTATTAGGAAATTTGCTTTTTTCTTAAGCATCCTTAATAATAAAAAAATAGGTTGGTGATGAGTCTGTTTACCGGGGGATTGCTATCTCAACACAATTTACGTGGTAGTTTCGTCTTAAGATTTAAATAGTTTAATTAGTTTTTAATTTCATCAATCTTTGTACTACTGTACTACATGCCTATGTGCCAAGCACTGAATTCATGCGCTTCTATGCTAGATATATAGATATACAATGCGCGAGCTGTGAGCAAGATAGAGATACAGAGATGAGAAACGAAGAAGTGAGATTATATAGTGGTTCCAAGCTTCCCCTTCTGGGATTTGGCATGGTTGCATTCCCTTATGATAGAGAAAGAGTCGAGCTCGCAATATGGATGGCCTTCAAGGTACAAAACTTCTGCTCGATCCTCATTCTCTTCATGTTGCTTTCTTTCTGTTAAGCTTAATGCATGTTTAAGTTGGGGCTTTGGAAAACAGTCTCGTCCCTGCAATGCAATGAAATTTAATTTGTAGCCTTTGTTAATTAAGCTTGTACATATATTATGTTTTTGACAAAAGCTATAAGTTGACAGTTTTAATTAGTGTTTGTGAGTTTGTAGTACTCGATATAGGATAGGGAAAATTTTCAAGCCCCTTCAATATGGTATATATATTCTATTGCTCATTGTTGAAGTAGGATGAGTTGCATGAACTTTATATAATGTGGTTGTGGTATTAATTAATTCAGATGGGTTACCACCATTTCGACACTGCAAAGATATATGGTTCGGAACCTACCGTAGGTAGTGCTTTAATGGAGGCAATTCATGATGAGGCAGTGAGCAGAGAAGAAATTTTTGTTACTTCTAAGCTATAGGGATCTGATCACCATGACCCCATTTTCGGACTCAAGCAAGCTCTGAAGTAAGGAACAATATATATGTCTTTTCTTTTCAGTGTTCACATGCATTAATTCAATTATACTAATCCTTAATTTGACTGAATACATAATTAATTGCACCAATCCAAATATATACCAGCTAGCTCTTGCACAGAGAGAAGTGAAGAGGGAGGAAGGTTGTGTGGTCCTTCAATTTGTTTGTGTTTTTTAGGAATCTAGGGATGGAATATGTGGGCCTGTACCTGATACCCTGGCCAGCCAAACTAAAGGTGTGTTTTGAAGTCCTATCAAAGCGCTTTCATGGCAGCCATCAACTTGAGTTTTAGAACTGTTGACATGCTTTGCAACACCATAGAGAGAAAAGCTATTCTCGACCTGAAAAAGGGTCTCAAAGACCCTTCAAATTGGCTCTCTTCTTGGGATTCAAACAACAAAGATGTATTTGTGAAGTGAACAAACATGATGAGGCTTGATTTGAAAAACTCCGAAAGTGGCATTGTGAAGAGAACATTTTTGTACAAACCAAGAGTTTATCAATTTGAAATTAAGATGCATTTGTGATTCAAATATTTTGAAGCGAGAATGGGCTTTTAAATTTTATTTGTAATTGATGTTTTTTTTTTAATTTTTGTATTTCATTTCAATTTAAGTGAATATAGAGAAAACAGGTTACTTGAAGCAAATTAGAAAAAAAAATTAAAAACAAAAAGCTTATATGAAAAAAAAATATATGGTTTTAGCGGCAGTCACAATTGCCGCTAAAGATGTCCTTGACTGTCGCTAAAAGCACACACATAAAACTTATAGCGGCAGTTGGTTTATTATTAGTCACAATATGTTTATTATAATCGGGTCCATCGGGTCAAACCCAATTGTTCTAAGAACGATCCTTTCGGTTCTATGTCTAAAATTATAGACCCTACCAGGTCCGGTTTGGTTCTAGGTCCATAGTGTTTCTTGTCAGGTCAGTTCCGGTTCTACCTAGACTTGACCTGGACATGACCTGATGAAAATCCTACTCGAATTCTACATTTGCTAAAATTTGAATGGCTCAGGCATGATGTTGTGTAAATTCTTCAGGTTGGATAACCAACTTACACCATTATTAACTTTAAGGCTGCAACTTCAACGGAATTGGCCAAACTTAGGGTCAACCTTAGGAATGACAATGGGGCAGGTTCAAGGCAGAGATCATATTCTTCATCTTTGACCTTGATTTTGAAATAAATTCTTGTTCCCGCCCTGATTCTACTAGGGATAAAAAATTATCCTCTATCCCCAATCCTTAACGGAGACGGGTTCCATGCAAGGACTCGAAACCCCAAATATTTTTAATTCATAATATTTTTTGAAAACTAAATTTATTTAAAATAAATAAAAATTTTAAAATATAAATAATATATTAAATATACTTTTAATATGATTTAATCATATATACATATCTTTAATCATATGCATTATACATATTAACAAATATACTAGCGAAGGGGCCTCTGCTTCGTAGGGGCTGGATTGGAATTGTAACATTGCTATTTGCTACATTATAAAAGAAAATGGTTTCTTAAAAAGAAACTCATATAAAGATTTAAAAGAGATCATTATGTGCTCGTTTTTTAAATATTGCTTCAGCAAAGCATCTTCTATAAAAGAACATGATCATATAGTGACAGTTATGAGTTCTACTTCATAGTTGTCTTTGGTTTCACATCAAGAACTCCCAGATGACCCATATGGTAAGACCATTTGGCCCGGGAACCATCTAGGCAACCGGTTTCATTTTACCCCAAACCCGGTCTTTGACAAAAAATCGTTGAATCAATCAATGACCCATTGACCCAAGCGGTTAAACCATCGACCCCGTTCAATGGTTTTGGGCCTTTTTTATTTTTAATTTTTGTTGTCAGAAACCAGATGGTCAAACCATTAACCTGGAAATTGGTGGCCAGAACAGTTTTGTTTCTAAGTCATTTTTTCTAAATGTCAATAATTAGACGAAATAACTTTGTAGTCATATTCATGGGAAGGGTGAACATTGCAAAGAATTCCAAAACCTTAAAAGATAAATCCAAAGTGACATTTAACACAGAAAAAATTGGCGGTAAATCCACCAAATTGGAAAAACCAAGGAAAAAAATAAAAAAAAAAATCGAGTCTAAAGTTTCACTTTGAGACGGAGCTAAACATACACGCAATAAAAAGAAAGAGACAAAGTAGATCATCTTATAAGAAAAAAAAAAAAAAACATTGCACAAGAAAACCCAAAGAAAAAACAAAAGGGAAGAAATAAAATGGTGAAAAACCCTAGACCATTTTAGAGGATCTAGAAGAAGAAGCCCAAACACAAAAGAAAAAGAAAAACAAAGTAGAAAATGAAAAAAATGAACATAATGCACACACTCGAATAAAGCCCACAGTAGAAGAAACCTTTGAATAGTGAAAATCTAAAAGCATAAAAAACCATGGTTTTTTAATCGTCGTTGACTTGAACGGACGGACATTTCGGCCCAGGAATCGTCTAGACAGTCGATTCCACTTACCCCAATCCTGGTCCCTAGCCAAAAACCGTTGAATCAGTTAATGACCCATTGACCTGAGCGGTCGAACCGTTGACCCGTTCAATGGTTTTTGTCATTTTTTTATTTTTTTTAATTGAGAACCGTCTAGGCAACCGATTTCGTTTTATCCCAATCCCAATCCCTGGCCAAAGACCGTTGAATCGGTCAATGACCCATTGACCCATTTAATGGTTTTGGCCATTTTTTCTTTTTTAATTTTTGTTGTCAGAATGGGCCATCCATTCGAACCGGAGACCCGAAAACTGGTGGCTAGAACGGCTCCGTTTTTCGGGTTGTATGAGTCACATGCTCGAATTACATAACACGTATGATACACCTTATTGTACCTCACACACAATTTTTTGCCAGTAATTTTTGTTGTCACTATGGGCTGTCTGTTCGAACTGGACGGTCGAACTGTTTTTTTTTTTTACTTTTTTAATTGGGAACCATCCAGACAACTAGTTCTGTTTTACCCCAATCCCAGTCCCCTGGCCAAAAACCATTGAATTGATCAACAACCCATTGACCCGAGCGGTTGAACCATTGACCCATTAACTCGTTCAATGGTTTTTTACCGTATTTTATTTTATTTTTTTAATTTTTGTTGTTAGAACGGGTTATCCATTCGAACCGGATGGTCGAACCGTCGACCCAAAATCGGTGGCCAGAATGGTTCCATTTTCGGGTCGTATGCCACATGCTTGAATGACATAACACGTATGAGGCTGCTTAATGGACCTCACACACTCAATTTTTTTCCTGTAATTTTTGTTGTTAGAACGGGCCATCCGTTTAAACTGGACGATCGAACCGTCGACTCGAAAACCAATGGCCAAAACGGTTCCATAATTTTTTGCTTGAAATTTTCTTGTCAGAACGGGCCATCCGTTTGAACCGAATGGTCGAATCGTCAACCCAAAACCAGTAGTAGATAAGATATATAAGATTCCTTATATTTGTTTCTTGTAATCTTCAACAAAAAGTCTTATATATATATATATATATATATATATATATATATATATATATATAAGATTCCTTATATTAAAATTGGTCATTCCATGTCAGCATACCTCTCCTTTGAGAGAAGCTATTTATTTATTTTCTCCATTTTTTGTATTTTTTCTTATTTTCTTTTGTTTTAAAAATATAAAACAGTAATCGTTCCTTATCTAGATTAGATTAAACAACCAATGAGATGCACTTTCCCATAACCTAAATAATCCCCTCCTAACATTTCTCCTAAACGACCTTCCCCACTTTCTCTAAAATTATCTCTAATTCCTAATTATCTTTAATTCCTATTATCTCCAAAATTATCTCTAATTTAGTAGAGAGTTTCTCTCATAAATTATCTCTAATTCCTATTTATCCTCTCCCCTACTTTTTAACTATATCTATCTAAAGAAAGTTTGGATTAAAAAATTTATGAATTATTTAAATATTCTAACAAAATTATATAATAATTTTAAAATTTTTATTAAAAACATAAAAAAGAATTTTATATTTTTATAAAATATATCACAAAATTATGTACTAACAATTTAAATTATGTTTTTCAGATTATCAATTAAAATGTTTTTCAAATATTTAATAATATGTAATAGCTTTAAATAAATAAAATTCAAATAACAAAAAAATTTAAATATTTATCATAACTAGATTTCAAATAGTTAAAACAGAATTATGTAATAAATTTAAAAAATTTCTTCAAACTAGAAAAATAATTATAACATAATATTTAAATTAATAATAATTTAATATATTACAAAATTAGTATGAAATTATGTAATAATAGTATAAATTATGATTTTATGGATAATTAAATTTAATAAATACTTATTATTTTAAAATTTAAATATTTTACATATTATTTACGTATTTAAACAATTAAATATTTTAAATAACAAAATATTTAACATAACTTGGTTTTAAATAGTTAAAAAAAGAAATTATGTAATAAATTTAAAAAAAAACTCTAAACTATTTAAATGTTATAACGAAGTTATATACTAAATTAAAAATATTTATTCAAAATACAAAAAATTAATAGATTTAATAATATTCATGTTATTAATAATTCAATATTTTTACAAATTCATCATGAAATTTTGTAGTAACAATATAAATTGTAATTTTACGAATTATTCAATTTAAATGTTATTCAAATAATAAAAAATTACATTAAAAAATAAAACATTACTTAAATATTTCAATAACAAAAAATCTTAAATAAAAAACATTAAAAATAGCTAAATAATATAACAAAATATTTAATATTAGGTAATAACATTAAAAGTAATAAAATTCAAATAGTGAAAAGTTTTAAATATTTTACATATTATTTAGATATTTAAGTTACAAAATATTTAACATGACAAAATTTTAAATAGTAGAAATTATGAAATTATGTAATGAATTTAAAAAAATTCTTAAAAGTAGAAAAATAATTATAGTGGAATTCATAATATTCATAATAATAATAATTTAATATTTTACAAAATTAATAACGAATTATGTAATAATAGTACAATTATAATGTTATGGATTATTAAATTCAATAAACAATTAATATTTTAAGAATTTAAATAACAATATTAGTTCAATAACTAAATAATATTGTAAATAACTAATTTCACTTATATCATTTAATAATTATAGAAAATAACTATTAACAAAATTATATTTATTAGTAATAATTTTACAATAATAGTGTATATTCATTATATATTTATATATACTATAATTAATACTTATTTTATTTCATTAATTATTTAATGTTTTTTTATAAATATGCTTTCACTTTTTATTGATAAATATATTTTTATTTTGTATTTAATAGAAAATGATCAATAATTATTGCAGATTATACAACTATTATTTAACTTTTGAAATTTAATTTATCACATTTATTGTATTTTCATTATAAATTTATTTTTATTAGTTATATATATTTTTTAATATATAAATTAATACTTGTTAGAGATTAAAATATTATTTGAGATTACATTATTTATTGACTAATTTAGTATATTTCCTGTATTTATTATATTTTTATTATATAACTATTATACTTTCATTATAAACTTGTATTTTCAATGATTGTGTATGTTTACTATAAATTTTCAATAATTATTGGAGATTAAATTATTGTTATTTATTTGATATTAGACTATAAATTTAGTTGAAATTATAAGTGTTCAATGATTGGTTCAGTTAAGTTGCAAGCTGTTTTGCCAACCAAATCGATCTGATCAAGTCCGCAATTTGTCACTCGAAACCATTTGACTTGGGTTGTATCGATTTTGATCTATTTTCAGTTTAATTTGTTTGTTCAAAATATTTAAACTTAAAAAATAACTTTAAATTTCATAAATTACAATGATATTATTAAAAAATAAATTACAAAAATTAAACCTATGATATAAAATCTTTTAGACTAAGAAATATGAGAATTCCTACTTTCCCATATTAAGAGAATTAGATATAAAATATTAATATATATTTATTAAACCAAAGCTGATAAGAAATTCTAGAAAACCAACCAACTGTGATTGGGTTTGATCGGACTGTTTTTTAAAATGTTAAAATATAAAACAATTATATACTCTTATGTATTTCTATTGTTTAACTTTAACTTAACAAAGCCCCTGCACTGCACGGGTCCCTTTCACCATGCCTCTCCTTGCTCCATTATCCCCACCCTGCATTCTCTTTGACTTTCTCTCATCTCCCCTTCCCACCACTCCCATTAAGCCATGTCACCCAACTACTTAAAAATATTCCTATAATCTCTCTCCTAAGGTATCTTATTTAAACCAATAGTAAAGTATCATGTTGCTATACTTCCTAATCAATTTCTAAAATGCATCACCCCATCTATCTCCACTCTCCCTCATTTAAAATATTCATATTAATTAATAAATAGTTAAATACGATTAATATTTAATCCCACCCATATTCAATGACTATTAAATAATGTTATTACCAAAAGTTAATAAATACGGCTAGTAAATTACAAAAAATTAAATATTCTTATTAGTACGATTAGTAAATGACCAAAAATTAATAAATATTGTTATTAATTAACGCATTAACAACATTTTATAGAAATTGCAAACTCTTTAACTAATTTCTATAAAATTGAGAATTATATTTAACAATTATCAAAAAGTATAAAATTTTAGTTATTGTTATTATTATAATTAATAACCAAATACAAATGGGGGAACAAAATATTATAATGTTAGGAAATCAAATTATTAATTAATTTATATTGAAAAATAAAAGATAAGTAAGTGTAATTTTGTTAGTAAACTACCAAATAAAAATATATATTTAATAACAATTTAAAAAAAAAATCAATAAATCCCCATAGTTACACAAATGTAATAAAATTTTCATAAAACCACATTTTTGTAAAATAACATTTTTGAAATTAAAAGATATAAAGTATTTGAAAGTTTAYTTAAAATTCATTAAATAATTATTGAAAATTATTTGAATATTTTGGAAATTTTTTGAAAATTTATTACATTTGATAGATTTTGGAAAACCATTGAAAAATTATGTAATTTTAATTACAAATTATTGAAAATTATTAAAGATAAATGACTATGGGAAATGGAAAACTATAATTTGAACAAATAATTACACAAATTATTAAGATAAATTAGTACAATATTGGAAAAAGAAAATTATTGGTTAGTCTATATTAGAAATTATAAGATAAATTAGTATAATTCATTAAGTAAACCATTTAAAAAGAAAATAAATTATTTAATAAAAATTTAAATAATTTTTCAAAATTACACGAGTACAATAAATTATCCAAAATTTTCATTAAATTACATTTTTGAATATTAAAGACAATATAGTGTACTTTTAGAAATTTACCTTGTGGTTGATACTCAATATATCCTTTTGATCATTTCTATCATCAAATTGAATATTGGGTTGACGGGGACAGTGTTTTCAAAACTGGATCAAACCAAATGGTTAGATCGGAAAAATTGAGAACCGAACACCATTTCACCTCAAAACCATTTTTTGTCAAAAAACCGTTTATTTGGTTAGCAATCGCTGACTTGGGCGGTCGAACCGTCAACCCAGACAACTGTTTTTGGCCTTTTTTGTTTTTCTAAATTTTTATTTTTTTTTTTTTGTTAGAGCAGGTCATCTGTTTGGACTGAACAGTCGGACCATTCGACCCAAAAATGGTTCCTTATCCAATCCAATTTTAAAAACATTGGATAGGGAGTAGGTGCCTTGCCTTGAGCTTGGCTTGGTGTGTGCCATGGCCTAGCCGAAGGCCTGGCCCATGGACTAGCTCGACCCATGGCACGACAAGGGCCCGTGCGGTCTTGGGTCATGGGCCATGCTAAACCGACCCCCCAAATTATCCTAGAGGAGGGAGGCATGGCCCGGGATGACTCATGGGCTAGCATGACATGACTCGCACTTTGTGCGGGCCACATGCGGGTTGTATCGTGCCGATACAGCATGACTCAATTTACACCTCTACTTGAAACCACTCAGGTTTGGGGACAGGGTAGGGAAATTCGAGGATTCTCCATCATTGATGAGGAGTGGGGTTCCTTGCCCTTGAACTCACCCGACATTGAGGAGTGGTTACCTTGCCCTAAACTTATGTGACATTGGGGACGGGGTGGGGATGGGGTAGAGTGTCTTGACTATGGGGCAGGGAATGGGATAGGATGCCTTGCCCTGAACCCACCCCGTTGTTATTCTTATATAATTGTTAATTATTAGTGGAATTAATAAAAATATTAGTTTTATAATTATTTTATTTATTTAAAATTATTCAAAATTTCATTTAAAAATAATAAAAAGAATAAAAAATATTAAAATTACTACAAATTATTAATAAAACTAAATTTATTAAAAATATATATTCATATTTAATTAACAATAATTATTTTTTTATAAATCAACATTAAATGAAAAATAAAATTATTAAATCTTTCATATTTTCCCGTACATCGCACGGGTCCCTACTAGAAATCTACTGCATTTGGCGAAAGGGGACACCACCCCTATATATATATATATATATAATTCAATTTAATGTGGTTTACGATTTGGTTTGATTTTTAAAGGCCAAACCAGATCAAACACCAATTTCGATTCGGCTCGGTGCGGTTTAGCGGTCGAGGGTCTAGACTATGTAATGAACATCCCTGGTTTTGATTTGTTTTTTTGGAACCGGCGACAAGAAAAACAGTTCACGTAGTAGAACGCCCCTTAACTCCGCTTAACTTTGTTCAACCCTTGGATTCCCCTTAACCTCCATTTCGACGTTTCTACTTTGTCAAAGAAGAGTTCAACGTTGGTTTCGAGTTCAAAATTCCACCAAAAGTTGTTATTGTTGCCCTTTCATGGAAGATTTGCAGAGTGCTCTTGCAGCTCGTGGTCTCACTGTTTCTACACTTCCAGAAAAAGGTCGTTGTCTCGTAACTACCAGGGACTTCTCATCAGGTTAATCTCTCCGTCTGTCTCTGACTCTTATGTTTTCTTGTTTGTAGTTAGAGCTCGGAAATGATGACAGGGAGATGCTAATGGAACCACATTGATATTGCAAAGAACCATCCATTGAAGTGAATCTTGATTCCCAAGCTGTCACCTTTTCTCATGTTTATATGATTTAAGTGTAAACAAAGAATACCGAAATGGTTCAGAGGGCTTATGGGTTATCCTAATTTCTTCTCAATTGAGTGAATGAAGCCAAAATTCTACTGGGTTTGTGTGGTTTTAGGATTTAGCAAAGTTTTGAGATCAACCGTGTGAAGAAATGGTTAAATAAATTACCTTGTGATTAAATTAGCTACTTATTCGTTATTGACAGTTCACTGACATGGTTTTCCATGCAAGTATTCTGCTCTAAATCTCCATTCCTTTCTTGCTTGATAAAGAAGAAAGTGGATAAATTGTAAATCGTTATCATAAAAGATGGTGCTATATTATATACATGGTTCAGTAATTCTTACTTATGGTTACCATTGAAGCTATTGTGATGTTGAGATAATCCATTATTAACTAAATATATTTGATTTTTATTTTGAAAATGCTCTTAAATTAAATGTATCCTAGAGATGCTCCACCAATGTCCGAGATCCCCATCATTAGGTGCCATCTAACAATGATTTTATTCTTCTCCAAGACAAGAGCCAGACCTCTTTCAATAGCCCACATCGATAATAGAAAAGTTGTTTCACTCTCCAGCAAATGAATGGAAGCAATGACTAATTCTCTTGTGATTATTAGATCCATAAATCCAGAATCCGAACCCATGGATCTGGGTATATCTGGTTCCTCACATCTGACTTGGAACTATAATCACCTTTTTGATATTCTAGTTCTTCATGATTATTGGCTAGAAATTACATGTCTACTTTCATTTTGTTGGTTGAATACTTGCCTCCAGTGACAAAAATCATTCTTCAGGTAATAAAGATTCATAAATAAGCCATAATATACAAGGTCTTATTTTACTTCATGGAACTTAGTTTATATGATTGTCTATAAGCATTAAATTATTGTAATTTCTTTCAAAAATTTATAAACTTGGGAAGCTAATATTTTTGTCTTTCTTTTCAAAGATATGGCATGCATTATGCTTTACAAGAAATTATTGATGGGTTTTTTGATAACCATTTTCTTGACATGTGTATTGTACTTCCACTTTTCATGTTACTAAAATTCTTATATTCTGCAGGAGATGTGATTATAAGTCAAGAACCTTATGCCTCTGTACCAAATAACTCTCCTGTAAGTTCAAGATGTGATGGCTGTTTTGCATCAAGCAACCTCAAAAAATGTTCAGCTTGTCAAGTTGTCTGGTATTGTGGGAGCACATGCCAGGTATAGATTATTTCATAAAAGCTCTCAACTGTGAACAACTTTGGAAAGCCCAAAATGTTTCCATGTCTGTAGAATTTACAAACATTTGATACATTTCTAAAATAATTTAGTTTGCACAAGCTTGTACTAAGACTAGAAGAAAATGATATGCTTAAAAGATCATCATTGCCATCGTCGTCTAAGCCTTTCTGAACTATATGGAGTTGTCTACATGAATCCTATTTCACCATTCTGTTCTGTTGAGTGGCATATCCATTGTGAAATTATGGGCACTTAAAACATTTCACTGCCATATGCTTAAAAGATCATATAAGCAATAATCGTGGTGGTGGTAGGTTGGATGTCTTGGGTGATGAGCTGGGGGACAGTCTTCTAGGAAATTTTCTTTGGTATGATAAAAAAAAGAGAAACTCTTATGTAGTATGTTTTGGTTAGTAATCCCACAACCTAAAAGGCAGAAATCAAATTGAAAAATTCTACAACTACTTGGGGCATTCATAGGGTCTAATAATTCTACAGAAGTGTTATTAATTTGGTGAAGCGGTTATGAATTCTTTTTGCTTCCCTAGTCGATATGATGACTAGTCGATTTCTAGGAACCGACTAGTCAACCAGCCAAAAACATATATTCTAAATATTAGATGTTGATGCAATCTCATATAAGTTATTGTAAACTGCAGATACACAATAAAAGAATGATATAAAACATTACTTCACAATCTTTGTTTAGAAAATATAGAAAAGGAAGGTTGGATGGGCTAGGATTAGGGGTAGCAGCCCTTGTTTTTCACAGAAATAATGAAACCTTGACTATTTGGAGTGTCCCTTTCTTTGTAACAACTCCATACCAGCACATCACTAATTGGAAGAAAAACTTAAAAAGAACTCATCCACTGTTTTTTATTGTATGCCTCATTTCTACACTTGAGAAACATTTCAAGTTAAGTAGAGGAGTTATACAGGGAGATCCCATCTCTCCATATTTGTTCATCATAAGCATGCAACTATTGTCATCACTACTGGAAGAAGGAACAAATAAAGGGGAATTAAAAGCAATGGAAATAGGAAGGTACAAGGTAAGGGTGTCACATATCTTCTTTGCAAAGGACTGTATGTTGTTCTGTAGAGCTAGAGAAAAAAGAACAATTGAGAATTCTTAAGTGAATCTTATATGACTTTCAGGAGCTATCGGGCCAATAATAAATTTATCAAAATCTGGTATGTACTTTAGCTGGAATATCCACATTGGAGTAAGACAATTCCTAATGAAAGTTCATGGGCATGAAGCCTTTAGGCAAATATGACAAATATTTGGGTGCATGTATATATGCAAACCAAATGAATACAAACCGTTTCAAGAAATAGAGAACAACATTGAAGCAAAGTTTTTTTGCCAATATTGAAGCAAAGTTAGCAACATGGAAGGCAAAGCTCCTGATTGGCTGGTATGTGCTTGCTGTGTTTGTGCTCTCTTATGTTTCTCTTTCTTGGTTCTTTGTTGTAGGCGGTTTGACAAAGTAGTTGGTGGGCCAGGGGGTGTTATCTTAACACCTGCCTTTAGTTTGTATTCAGCTTTTCTTTTTAATAAAGTTTTCCTGTTATCTATAAAAAAATGCTCCTGTCACAGGTGTGGAGAACACTGAAGCAATTTCTGTATTTTTAATGCAGGTGACTAAATACCCTTAAGTTTCCTTAAAATATAGAAAAAAGTCAAAGAAATTTCTGGTGGCATGGTTTGGATCATGCCAACAGTAGGCACCTAATAGAATGGGAGAAACTTTGCCATCCAAAAAAAAGAGGAAGGTTTTGGCTTTAGAAAGGGAAGAGAACTGAATATGGCTCTCCTTAGCAAACAAGTCTGGAAGTTAATGCTGAACCTGATAGCTAGTGGGCTGCCTCTATGAAATCCATCTATTTTCCACATGGCAACTTTCTGGGTGATACAAAATCAAGAAAATCTAGCTCTAAGAGGTGTTCTATAGCCAAAAAGATGAAATCATTGATTTATTGCTACCTTACAACTCTATTTGGGGGAGAGGAAATAGATCACAAGTTCAAGCCCTAACACATCCATGGATGCCTTCAATTACAGGAGGAATCCCATCTCTCAAACAAGGAGAAAATACTACTTTTTTTGATAAGTAAAAGGAAAAAATTAAATTAAAAAGAGAGCAAGGAAAACAAGATACAGCCTCCAACAGTGCCAAGATGGTACCACACAAACAACTACAACTCAACCACACGACTTAACAGCCCAAAACGCAAAGAAAACAGCCACACAAACATCTTGATGAGAACAATTAAAAACACCAGAAGAGGCATCACTGCCTAAACACCAACAAGCAGATTTATTCCTCATCAACAATTGATTCTTCCTCCCTTCCTTCCTCATTCCAAATTTCTCCCCCATCCCCTCTAAATGTTTTTGAAAGACTCTCATCCTTCCTCCTCTTTTCCAACTCCTCAAGAGCCCTTCGAGCAAAAGCCTCTCCTCCCGAGAAGAACAAATCCAATGCTTTTCCAACTTCTACTTCCCTATCAACAAGCTTTTTTATATCCAAACTTTCTTTCTTCACCTCCTTTGACACCACCTCCCTTTCCACTTTCTTGCCTTCCTTTCTAACATCCTCTGCCCCTTAGCTATTAATTGGTTCCTCCCCCACAGGGATTGCTGAGAGATTTGGTTTACTTTCCACGACCTGGCTCTCCTTACCAGGGAACATGACTCTCTGAGCTTTGAATTAGGACTCCATCTCTTGTAAACCTTTTTAAGTTTATTGGTTGGACCTGCCCCAATTATACCATCTTTAAGACGTGAAAAAACCTTTGTGACATGCACAATGTGGGTCTTGTTCGAAATTCTTGTCTTCTTTGTAGCCAACCCTGGAGCAACTCTCTTAGGACTCTCGAACTCCTTTCCTCCAACCCAGATTGACACCCAGCTTGCCAACAAACACTTCAGAAATTGAAGATTCATCCCGTTTTTCAGGCGACTCAGACTTATCCAAAGCCAGGTTGTCGCTCCCAGGCTCCAGAGCACCATCACAGGTCACAGTATGCCCCCAGCACTCCCTTCTGCCTTATCTTCTTCTGCCTCCTCCCTATCTCTCTCCACCCCAACCTTGAGACCAGCCACCTCCCCCATCCATAACTTGAGAAACATCTCCTCCGCTTCAACACCTCCATCCCAACCCATCCGACCAGGTTGAGCAGCATCACAGGAGTCCCTTGAAATCATGGCAACCACCAAGGAAGAAACCCCTTTGTTCAGCCACCACAGAGGTACCACTGGACTAAGTAGCACCAATAGCAATCAGCAGCCCGGTATTTGAAGGCTGTGTAAAGTTTACTCAGCTGACTCTTTCATAAATTGACTCCATCTGCTCAGTCTGTAAGCAACAAAAAGAATCTGCACACCATCTCTTCAAATGTACTTATGCTTGCTCTATTCGATGTCAAGCCAAAATAAGATTAAATTCTGATGAAATAACAGATCAACCAATACACACAAGTGTAGAAGAATGGTGGTATAAAATCTCCAAACGTTCTTCTTCGTTAGGAATAATCCTATGGCTGTTATGGAAATTCATGATAATCCTGTGGCTGTTATGGGACAACAGGAATAAAGCTATTCATGAAAACCATCAAGCAAGAGGATTTTATTAAGCTGGTTGTTAAATTATCAGTCACTGGCAAAAAATGAAAGTTATCTCTGCACCTCAGCAAGAAGATATTTTTGCTGACCATTGGCATGATAAGCAATATGTTAGCATTTTCACTGGTGGATCCTTCATTGAGGAAACTTACAGGTTAGCATCAAGCTTCATAATATTTTCACATTATAATAATTTCATTGGCCCTGCAGCTTCACCATGTAAAGTATACACTGTACAGTAGCTATTAAGCAAAAGTCAAGGCAGTAACTGAAGGCTTAAAGGCAGCTGTAAATAAAGGTTATAAAAAATCTATGCTTTTTTCAGATGCTTAGCAACTAATATGGAAGCTAAATGGGTAGATGAAGAACCTATACTGGAGGGATCTATTTCTTTTTGATAAAATACAGGTTGTTGAAGATAAATTTGAAGAAATGAAGTTTATATATGTAAACAGAAACTTAAATAACATAACCAATGACCTAGCTTCAATTGAATGCTCTGTGAATCAAGTCATATCATGTGCACAGGGGGGCTTTTTGTACTCTTTTGTATATGGTTAATGCTATCTAATGGAGCTTAGTTCTTTCTGGGGAAAAAAATAAAACCAAACAATGTAGCATCACAAATGCTTAAAGAAACTGAAATGAAGTGCACCAAATAAAAGCATTTATGATACTGTTTAAATAATTGTAGATAAACACAAACAAATGAAGCCTCAAAATAACTTTATGGTTGAGTGGATCCACTAGTTGACCTAGTTGATGCTTAGTCATCTCAATCTATTGCATCATTAGTATGGACAAGCTAGTTAGTGAAGTGGTCAGTATGACAGAACAACAAGTTTCAATAGACCAGTTCTATGAGTGGAGAGGGGAGCAATTGATTTGGAATCTGAAATTGAGAAGGCCTCTTTTGGACCAAGAAGTGGAAGAGTGCATCATGCTTCTGGAAAAATTAGAAGGGACCAGTTTTACTAGATCTACAGAAGATGGTTTCTGGTGGAAAGAATGTAAGGAAGGCAGATTCACAGTTATGTCATTCTACAAAGCATTAGTAAGAGAAGAAATGGGTTCAGACCAGATAAAAGGAGTGCGGGGTAACCCAGTTCCCCCAAGGGTAGAAGCCTTTGCCTGGCTGGTGGCACATGACAGCATCCTTACCTCTGATCACCTGAGATCTATGGGATTGCATCTGGCCAGCTGGTTTTATTTATGCAATCAGGAGGAAGAAACAGTCATCCATCTGTTCTCATGCAGCATAGCAAGTTTCATATGGAAGTTCTTCTCCTTTCTATTTGGGATGGTTGTTTTCCAACCAATGAGTCCAGCAGAGATCTTCTCCTTGTAGCCAAAGCATCAGAGGCAGTAAGAAAGCTAGGATTGTTTGGAGCTGTGTTCCTTTTGCAGTTTGTTGGTCTATTTGGAAGGAGAGAAACAGAAGGGTTTCGAGAACAGGTAAAAAAGCATAGAATACATGGTAGCTGCAGTGAGCAATCTGATCTTAGACTGGGTCCTCAGACTCCCAGATTTTGATGAAGTATCCAAAGTCAATTTGCTGGAAAGTTTCTGGAATACCCTTGATTTACAGCCTTGTAATGAAGAATACTTTTCAATTTGAGGTAATGAAGTTTAGAATGTATTTGGTGTGTCAACCAAACAACCAATGATGTTGGGATGTAATTCCTTTTTCTCATTTTAATGATTAGTCAATGGCTTGATGGCACTGCTCTACAATAACTCAAAATCAAGATCTTCCAAGCTAATCAAAGTTAGATGACAGGAAACCATACCACAGACAGTTCCTTTAGGAGTTCACTGCATCACTTATGAAGTCTTAACACTTTTCTTTTAGCCTCTGGGTCTAAGTTTTTGGCATATTGGATTGAACTCCATCACTCTTTTATCAGAATATTTATAACATGTTTGAGTCCTTTTCAGAAATCAGAGTGGAAGTTGCATCGTCTTGAATGCCAAGTTCTCCTTGGACTTGATAATGACAAACGAAAGTCAATTACACCATCTATTCGTTTGATGGTGAAACTGTACTTAAGAAGAAAATTGCAAGGTGATCAGGTGAATGGTTTTCTATTACCTTATCTTTATACCTGATGTTTTTCTGCTGGACTTCTTGCATTTGCTCTTCATTAATATAACTTGGGCTTTTCTTTTTAATCCTTTTCTATGCCTGCCATAAAAATATTCCCTTTTTTGTAATACACTTAGGCAGTCATTAACTCATTATTTGCCTATGAAAATTGTCTTGATACATTTCTGTTTCTCATTTTTTTTTTTTAAATTTTCGAAAGGCTCCATATGGTGTCATTGAATATACTATTTTTCCTCAACATAAGCAGTCATTATGGTTGATTTTCCTAACCATTTCCCTTTAAATAATAATATATCAAATACCATTTTATTCAGTAGTATAGTGATTTCTTATTATAATTTTGTGTTGCAAAATTTCCTTTGAAGTAAATTGCATTTGCTTCATGTTTTTATTGTGGATAACTAAGAATTTAGTGCACATATTTTCAGAAAAAAAAGGATTATGAGGCTCTCCATGTGGAAGGCTGGGCTTAACTAGTTTTTTTTTTTTTTTTTTTTTTTTTTGGCATATTTCACCAAGATTTTCCTTTTTGCTGTATTAAGGCACAAAATATTTCTAGGTTTTCTTTATCGTTTCTCTTTGACTACTCCAAGCTCCTGTACTTTGAGATACTGTTTTTTTTTTTTTTTTTTTTTTTTTATCAGCCTTAACTAGTTTTCACTTTATCTCATTAACCTGCATATTTTTATTTGTCTTATGATCAGGCCATTCCAGCTACTGCTACAGATAACTACAGTTTGGTGGAGGCATTGGTGTCTCGTATCCTTATTTTTTGTTTTCATCTTTTGTTTGATAACTTTTCTTCTCTATGGTCTCTTCTTGATATGTGATTTTGGATGGCCTTAGGGTTCATAGTGATGGTGTAGAAACTGAAAAATTTCTGGAATTCCCTTGACTTACAGCCTTGTAATGTAGAAGCCTTTTCAGTTTAATGTTTTGAGCATGTACTAGAAGTATGTACTTGATGTATTTGGTGTGTCATCTTGACAACCAAGGATTTTAGGATGTAACCTTTTCTTTTAGTCATTTTTTTTATTGATTCTTCAAAAAAAAAAGTTCCATCAATTAATAAAATTCATTGTTACAGAAAATAGTAGGCTGTCTAGTATAACTAAATATTCTGGTTACGCATTGTCGATATTTTCTTGAACCTTCATCAATGACCTTGGATTCCATAAGCTTCATTCTATACCATTCTTGTCAGTGTAGAAACCTAGTTGGCGCACTATAAATTTCATTTCTCATGGTGCCATGGTGCTAGCCTTTACCCTTTAAAAAGAAAATACTCACCAGCTCACATAAGCTTTAACTTTCTGAAACAGCATTAAATGAAAACTTCTCTTTGTCATTCCATGAATCTAGGTGTTTTGGTAATATTGACAACCAAAGTTCTTCTCTTTGTTGTTGAAACAGTCCAGGTCTGATAAGGTTGATTGTCTCACTGGTCATTAGTGAATTTGGAGCTATTGTGGGCACATGGTAACATTCATAAGCTTTTACACCAAATTGATGTATGGCGGTATTATTTTTCACAAAATATGAAAGTGATAGATAGCATAATGGGAAAAAGACAGATAATAAATTAATTATTAGAGGAGTTACACCTCTCTTCCCAAATCAGGTATAGAGTCAGATCTAACTGTATGGCCTTGAATGGAGTCTGTCCAAAGAAGGAAATTCTTGAGAGAAACTCCTAAGCAAAGCAGAAGACTTCATTCAATTCTAAAGAATTAATTTCTTTAAATGAAAAAGAGTGTTCTCACATTTATAAACCACATATATGATGCCCAAACACTTATATTAATACCACGTGTAGAGTGCTCTCCTAATGCACAGAGTGCCTGTGTAGGAGATATGTTACATTCTGGTTAGGGGTGGCAACGAGCCGAGCTTTTCACGAGCTGCTCGAGCTCGGCTCGGCTCGGTTTCAACCGAGCTCGAGCCCAATTCAGTGGCTCGATTATTAGACGAGCCGGCTCAAATATATATATTATATATATATATTTGATATTTAATATATATAATAAAATTATAGAAAATAATATATATAATAAAAATATTATAATTATTAATTATTATAATTTTTAATTTTTTAAATATAAAATAAAAATTTTCTATATATAACTTTTATTTTTATAAATTATTTTTTTTCTCAAAATTGAGCTCGAGCTGAGCCGAGCTTGAGCTTATGCATTTTTGACTCGAGCCGAGCTCGAGCTCAAGGTTCTGGCTCGAACCGAGCTCGAGCCTTGTAGAAGAGTCTCGAGCTGAGCTTGAGCCTGGTACTATTCAGCTTGGCTCGGCTAAAATCCACCCCTAATTCTGATACTTCATATGTTCTTCAGGGAGCCTTGTGAATATTGTATTCTTTATTCTCCGTGTTGGCATAAAATGAACATCTATTTACATAGTGAATTCCATTCTTTCCCGTAGAGTATTCTTAGGCTGTACATGCATGCATTTGACCTTTTCATCTTGCCGAGCCATACCTACTGGATGTGTAGTGGAATCTAAATCTCCTGTTCTTATCCATGTCCATGCATTGAAGATCAAAACTCCTATTCACTTTTTAATCCCTGAATAACTCCTATTTTAATTTAGAAAACTACCTTCCAGAAATATACCTTTTTTCAGGACATTACAAGATTGAAACTAATTCCTAAATTCTAAAACCAATGCATGCCAAAATAAATCCTAAAACAACTCTAATTTTAATATTCAAATAAATTAGAAAGTATGCATTGCAGCTTTTGGTTAAGTGACAAGTAATCCACTGACAATTTTAAACATTAGCTCCTTTGTATCTCATATAAGGGGCCAACTATCTAGGGATGATAAGTGTGAGAGCACAAGTTTGAGTCTGAGAGCGATCACTTTGTACAAATAAATGCCAAAGGTTAGATCCATATGCCAAAGGGTGGATCTTATATAAGTTTTAATATTTTCCTTTTTTGCATATCATACATGGACTGTTTGGCTTGACATTTATTCTTTCACCAAGACATGTCCGATATTGATGAGAAGCAGCTGGTTCTATATGCACAGATGGCTAACCTTGTCAACCTGATACTTCAGTGGCCTGATATCAACATAAAAGAAATTGCAGAAAATTTTTCTAAGGTGCTATAGAAAATTAAGATTACTATTATTTGTTGTTGCACTTTTCTTTTTACAGCCTGTTTGGAAGTTATGTGAAATATAGTTGTTTTACTTTACATGGCATTTCAAATGGAAATGTTTTTTTTTTTCAAGTTTGTTTTCAGGAAAACCTGAAATAGCTCTGTTCCAATATTTTATTAACTACACACTGATCCTCTTTAGATGGTGAATTCTACTCTAAAATGTAAAGGAAAACTGCAATCAGATCATTTCATTTTCTGTGGTGCCTAAATGGGCTGTCAGTGTTTTCAATAGCAGCAAATTTGTAGACTAGATATTCATGTAGGACACATTGTTACTCAAAATTCTTGTTATATTGTGCTTTTGTTTGATCCTTTTCTATCTTGTACAGCTTGCATGCAATGCCCATACAATCTGTGATAGTGAGCTGAAACCTTTAGGGACAGGACTATATCCTGTAGTTTCCATTATTAATCATAGGTAATAAACCTTCGAGCCAGTGACATATTCAGTATTCTATCCTTATATTGTTAGCTATGCTAAAAAGTTATTATGATGTAGCTGCTTGCCCAATTCAGTGTTGGTATTTGAGGAAAAGATGGCAGTGGTTCGTGCTGTCGAGCCTATTCCTAAAGGTACAGAGGTATGTTATTCTTTCTGTCTGTTGTCTCAGTATGATTATTCACTTTTCTTTTCCTTCTAACTTAAGATTTAGAGTTGTTACCTAATTTAGTTCTCTGATTTTACATTTAAGGTGTTGATAAGTTACATAGAGACTGCTGGAAGCACTGCAACTCGGCAAAAAGCTCTCAAAGAACAATACCTTTTTACATGCACATGTTCCCGCTGCATAAAAGTTGTCAGATTACTATTCTTATGGTCATTTTTTTGGTATATAGTACATCTTTTAGATTCTGATGGTTGAATTTAACTTAGCTGCTTCCATATCAAAGGGCCTGAAAGAAGACATTCAAGAAAATGCAATCTTGGAAGGCTATAGATGTAAGAATGATATGTGCAAGGGTTTCTTGCTTCGTGATTCTGGTATGTAATTAACAATGGCAATATGGCTCCTTTTTTCAGATTTCATTTCTCTTTATGTGAATGCCTATTTCTAGTTATTCATTCTTCCTTGTGTATGGGGATGTTATGCAGATAACAAAGCATTTATATGTCAACAATGTGGACATGTTAGGGATAAGGAAGAAATAAGAAAGATTGCAAGTGAAGTTAAATCACTGTCTGACAAGGCATCTATTTCTCTATCTTCTGGAAGTATCCTTCACTAAAAATGAACTTGGAATAGTATGAATTGGTTTTGTTTATAAAACCCATGGTATCATATTCTATATGATGATGATTTTTTCTTGGAACTCATTGCCATTCTCTAACTTTTGGGCATTTTTTGTTTTTCCTTATATTTTTTTGTCATTTTTGTATGGGGGGAACTTTGTACCTTTTGTGGTATTATTATCCTTTTGTCAGCCTCCTTCTAATACTTCATCAATTTTTATATTTTAATGAAATTACTGTTGCATATAAAAAGGAAAGAAAAAAATTTCTAGGTCATACAAAACCCAAACTTGTTTTGAAATTTCAAGAGGAGACCAATATATTTGATCCTTGACAGAAATCAGATTATCTGGAAGCTAGTTCTATGTACAAGACTATAGAGCAACTTCAAATGAAACTCTCTCATTCACTTTCAGTCAATTTGATGCGAACTCGAGAAACTCTTCTCAAGGTGCAAGTCATGAGTTATTAGTTTCTGTAATGTTTGCTTCTTTTTCTCTTTTCTTTTTGTAATATTAGAAATTTGAAGTAGAAAACTTTTTATTTAAATGGCTTGTCATTAAGATGACTGAGTCTGAATTTTACAAACATGTGGTTAGTTTATGAGAAAATTAATTTGAAACATGTCGGAACCTAAATTTTGTGCATGCCATATTTGTCCTTGTGTGCTTACTGGAGAAACCTGCTTCATTGAACCATATCTCTATTTAACTAATAAAGCTTCATTAATGCTTGCATTCTTGTGTATTTCATATGTTATGGACAACCTCTAATTTTTGGTGATTGATGTCATTTATACTTTCAGATTTTGATGGAACTGAAGGACTGGAGAGGAGCATTACACTATTGCAGACTAACCATTACAGTTTATCAAAGTATGTCAGGCTAGGACTTGATCTATATATTCATGGAGAAAAAGACAATTAAATTTTGAGAAGTTTAAACATTGCCTCTGGGGTCCAATTGTTTGTTCTATTGTTCTACTAGCATCACTTTTATAGTTTACACATCACTTGGTAGACATTTTCACTTAACTAGATCATTTCTCCTTCATAGGGCCATATGCTGGTATGCTAGATTCTCATTGTTTTCTTTTCTGAGAGGCTGCCTCTTTTTGTTGGAACATTTTTTATGACATAACCTTAAGCTCATAGGACATTGTCAATTTCTTACTTATTTGTTGCTTCGAGTAGCATCTATTTATACTAATGTAAGGCCATGTGCTAAGTGCTATGCATGTGTACGAGTAAAGGGTATAGATGAATTAACATCGTACTATCAAATTTAACTTATTTTGGTGTGCACCAAAACCAAGGCAAGTATCTGCTTTATATAGTATATATTTTTTGAAGATAAATAAAATAAAAGCCTTATTAATGAAAAAGGAAAGAGAGGATACAACAGGGTGATAAGAAATATTTCTTTCTTCCCATACAGTCCAAAGTACAGCAGCCATAGTGCATCTCCATAATATTCTTCCTCTCTTCCTTGGCATCTGAAAGTTGCATTTGCAAACAAAGTCTCCAAGCTTGTAGGTAGAGTCCACTTACACCCAAAAAGAGAGAAGCACCAATTTCAAATAGAGGTAACAGAGGAACAAGAGATAAAAAAGGTGTTCAACAGTTTCACCAATTGCCTTATAGAGTATGCACCAGTTTGGGGACAAACGCATTTTTCCTTCTTTTTTTTTTTGTAAAAAGTCCATGGTATTGATTTTCCATGATAAACCTCCCAACAATAAACCTCTACTTTTCAAGGAACCGATTTACACCAAACCTTAAGCACAAGGAAGGAGGACCTGCTAGAACCAAGAGAAACCAAGGTCTGGAAAAAGAAAGCACAGGAGAAAGATCCTCTAGGGTCAGGGGGTCCAAACTCTCATCAGAATCGAGAGGGTCAACAACAACAAACTCTAGGATTTGATGAAAATCAGCGACTAGGGAACACTCAAAATCTCTTAGACCTCTTCTAAAGCCCAGATCCCATGCTTTCCCCTTCAGATAAGGAAACAAAGGAGGAAATAGGGTCATTTATTAACATAGAGATGACATAAAAGGAAGGGAAAGTATCTTTTAAAGTTCCATCTCCCACCGAAAGGTCCTCTCAAAACAGAATTTTAGTCCCTGAGTAAAGATCATACCTGATTAGATTACAAAAAAGAAGGTAGGACTGCATGAATAACTTTCCAGGGGGAGGCCAAGGCTGCTTTGTTGGATAAGGCAGCATCCTAGCTGGTTTGCATCAACCCATGTATGCTTATATCAATTTATGCCATAGATTCTCACTCTCCAGCGGTAACCTCCACAACCATTTCCCTAACAAGGCTTAACTCTTATATGTCACATTACCTATCCCTAGACCACCTTGTTTCTTGCTCGTACAAACTATTTTCCAATTCACTAGGTGGTCCTTTTCCCCTTCTCCAAGATCACAAAGAAAATCCCTCATTAGCTTCTCCAACAGGTCAACTATTTTCTTAGGTCCCCTAAACACTAAAAGGTAGTACACTGGAAGATTTCCCAAGGTAGATTTGATCAGAGTTATCCTCCCACCTCAAGAAATATAGTTTCGCTTCCAAGTTGCTAACATTTTTTCAAAGCTTTCTACCAACATTGTGCAAACACTACAGTTCTGTGGATTACTCCCTAGAGGCAAACCTTCCATCCCTTCCATAAAAAAGTCATTTTGCATCTCCGAACTGCTTGCAACTTTTTAAGGGACACGATAATGGATGGGGAAACTTTTTTTTTGATAAATGATTAATTCATTAAAATTATCAAAAGAGTGATATTAGTACAAACAACCCTTGGAGAGGTGCAAGTTGTGACCTTTCCCATAACAAAGGTAAAAACAAACTAAATAAGAAAAGCGATTACAACTGAGCCCAGTACAACATTTCCCTATTAGTCCCTTGTTTGGCTATCCAATCAGCCAAAGTATTTGATGATCTCCTTACCCCCTGTACTCTTATATTCATTCTTCTTGTATACCACTTGAATTTCTTAATTTCATCTCTATAGCACCAAGTGACAGTCCAGATCTAGGCGTAGAGGCGAGGCGGTTTCTAGGCTAGGTGCCTCGCCCAGGCTTAGGTGCATGGGCATTAGAAAGGCGCTCGCCTTTGCACCTAGCTGTGCGCCTTAGGCCAGACGACAGGTGGCCCAGGTGAGTGCATTAATGATGCTTTTAAACGTTTTCAAAAAAAATCTATTTTGTTTGTTTAACGGACCATAATTATGATATATTATATTATATACTATTTTTTTTTGAAAGGTAAAGTAAGAAATTTATTAATTCAGAAAGAACTCATTACAACAGGAGAGCTAACCACATGTGGCTACTCAGATCACAGGACATGTTACAGATCCCAAATGGATACAGATCTAAATAATTCAGGAAATGAGGGGCTACAGACACCCAAGAAATCAGCTTGCTGACCGCCTGCTGCACAATCTCCTCAGTGCTCTTAGCTTTGTTGCTGAAGGCTCTTCTGTTCCTCTCTGACCAAATTACCCACATCACTACCGCAGGAATAATTCTCCAAATTAAATTTCCTTTCTTCAAACCTTGAGAATTCCAGCAAAGCAGCAGGTCTTTTACTGAACTTGGCATGACCCAACAAAGACCAGCCGCTCCTATAAAGTGGTACCAGATGTTCGAAGAGATTGGACAATGTAAACACAGATGGTCTGTGGACTCAGGCAATAAACCACACAAACCACACATCAGAGAAGGGAGCTGAATACCCCTTCTGTCCAGGTTGAGTCTTGAGAGACATTTGTTCAGCACCATAGTCCATACAAGGAAGATAGACTTCGAGGGAGCACAAGACTTCCACACTTGCTGGTAGGGGAACTTAGTAACCCCTGTGCTGCTAAGCTTAACAGTAAGGGATTTGAATGAGAAACAGCCATCCTTACTCTAGGACCAGCTCCATTCATCTTCACCAGAAATGTCTATCGACTGCTCCTGTAAAGTCTGCAGTAGTTGCATCACTCCTAGGGATGGAAATTTTACCCACAAAACCAGATCCCCTATCCGATCCGCTCCAAACAGGGCGGATTTCCCCCGATCACAAATGCATACGGATCGTGTTTGGGGAATTTTCTTTTGCCCCGGACTGGGGATGGGGTCTCCTTATAAATCCCCGAACCCGCCCCGACCCTGGTTATAAATTACAAATATACCCATATATATAATGTATTATGGTATTACCTATTACGTATTAGGTTTAGGAGTTAGCCGCCTGTTTGCTACCCTATTGACAACTGTTTTGTGACTTTCGTCTTCCTTCAACTTTCGCAGTTCGCACATACAGAGACACCGAGTCTTCCTTCAACCTTTGCACAACCGCCGACCGCCGGGCGCTGCCGCCTCTGTAACACAGAGGAACCACCAACCGCCGACCGTTGTAGCTCAGAGGAACCCCCGAGTTCTTCATCTCTCCGTTTGTAACATATCTAACAGCCCAGTTCTTCATCTCTCCATTTTCTCTCCGTTCGTCTGCCGACCATTGGCCGCTGCCGCCGCCGCCGCCGTAGCAGCAGACTTCCAGTCTTTCCTTCGTTCTTCGATCTTCACTCTTTAATGGATATGGGAGGTGATGGTTGGACGCTTCTGTCACCACACAATGGTTGGATACAGGAGGTGATGGTTGGATGCTTTTGTCACAACAGCAACCCCTGTTCAAACTCGCATCTCCAAGCCTTCTCTCAGTGTCCTCTTGGTCTTTGTGGGGCGGGTACATATCGGGGATTCCCCATCCCCGATGGGGCCGGGGATGGGGGTTGAATCTTTACCCCGATACTGGGGACGGGGCAGGGACAGGTGTGGGGATTTTAGCCACGGGGCAGGGATGGGGAGGGGGTGCCCCGCCCCAAACCCGCCCCATTGCCATCCCATCTATTTCCCAATCAAATAAATCTCTTCTGAACTGAGGATCCCAGGTCACTGTGTTGTTAGAAATCAACATAAGACTCCGCCACTAATATTTCTTGGTTAACTGCACATTGGAAAAGAAGGGGAAACGCCTCAGCTAAAGGTCTGTCCAAACACCAGGGATCTTTCCAAATTTTCAGCTTGCCCCCATTTACCACCTTAAACCTCACACCTTCATACATCACAGGAAGAAATTTAAGAATGCCTTTCCAAACCGAACAACCCCATGATGGGTATGGATCCTGAGACTTCCAATTTCCCCAATCCACCCCAAATTTTGAGGCAATTAGGGACCTCCACCAAGAGGATCTTTCTGCAGCAAACCTCCAACACCATTTACTCAATAAAGCCGAATTTACCACCTTTAATCTTCTTAGGCCTAAATAACCCTCTGCCTTAGGAAGACAAACTTGGTCCCAATTCACAAGATGCATTTTCTTCTCTTCTTCCCACCCTCTCCAGAGAAAATCTCTTTGCAACCTCTCAAGTTTATTTTCAATTTTAGATGGCATTGGAAACAGGGACATGAAGTAGGTAGGAGGTTGGCAAGGGTACTTTAGATAAGGGTCACTCTCCCTCCTATAGACAAATATTTTGCCTTCCAGGAGGCCAATTTTTTCCAAACTCTCTCAATGACTGGATCCCATAAAGCAGAAGAATAACATTTGGCACATAGTGGAAGACCAAGGTACTTACCCGGAAGATAGTCCACCTGGCAAGCCATCAGTCTTGCAAAAGAATCCAGGTTTGGAACGGGGCCCACTGGGATGATCTTACTTGTATGAAGATTAACTTTAAGACCTGAGACTACTTGAACCAGCAAAGTATACCGAGTAATACATCCACTTGATCAGAAGAGGCATCAAGAAAACAGAGAGTATCATCAGCAAACTGCAATAAATTGACTTTTTCCGCTTTCGGTGCAATTGCAAAACCA